TTGGCGCATTGCAATATGCTGGAAGAACGCAGAAGGTTTGCCTCAGTCGGTCACGTCTGCTAGTACAACAATGTGTGGCTATTATAAGTCGCATCCGAGTAGTCTACACCGTGAAGGCTTCCGCAGGATAAATACCGCTGCAGGTCAACGCAGTATGCCGCGCATACCTTCCGCATTCAATATATAGTAGCAAAGAAAGCGTTCAGTCCTGACGGCCTTCGTTCCAGAACAGGCCAGCGGCATGCGGCACATCCCATCAGGCAGCTGCGACTTGAGATTCTGTCGATGTGCGTGGAACCGTGGAGTCATTAAGTGTGGTGGGGGAGTACATATAAAGTCCCGTTCCATGGTAAAGGTGGCTTAGCGAGTATACCTGCCCCTTGAATGCTTTGTGCAGCCGGCAGACCCCAAGCCATTCACGTGTGCACGCTAGCGTAGATCAGTCTTCGGAAGCCGCATAACAGCTCAACCTGCCGCACCGTCCTCGCTGATTCCAACCTCATCGCTCTGCCACCACACACATAAAGCCTGCTCAACCCCCGCGCTGTCGCGTCAAGCACGACAGCACCTCGCACCCCACGCAAAGCAACAGTCGACCTGCTTCTTCCGCACGACATTGTACCTCAACGACTACACCCTCTGGTCGCGGCATTCTACCTGGTGAATCCTAGTGCTCCCGATTAGCGCATGCTTTCACCCCTGTCGTGCGTTGGCTGAACCCACCCCACATCGCGCCACCTGAAACAGGAACATCGTCAAAGGACATCACCAGTCACCGATCCGATTGTATCTCTCTCACACATACTTCAATCGACCGCGACAAATACTCAACCACTTTGTAGCCGCCATGGCAAGATTTGACGAATTCCCGGCAGAGTTGCGCAACATGGTTTACGACAACCTTCTCCGCGATCGTCATACTCAGCAGCAAACTCACAACTCTCTTGCACTCTTCACCGTCTCAAAACAGGTGCATCTAGAGTCCACCTCTTACTTCTACAAGAACAATCCCATCAGCACCGTCGCCCCGTCGTCGCCTACAGACGCCAACGCCACCGTGCTTCCTCCTATCGCCGATAGGTACCTTCGATTCCTAAGTCGACTCACCGTATCTGCCACGATTGGGCGAGCGAATTCGGAAAGGGAGCGCAAGATCGCCGATACCATAGCATCACTAGCAACTATCGGCGCAGCCTTCGAGGACCTGGAAATTAACATTCAATCCTCCTTATCAAGGCTTACGAATTCACGCGTCGATGACTCCGTACTGCACGCCGACCATCCCATCACGGTTTCGTTGCGACGACTGCTCGATTCTGGAGTGGCAAAAGTCTTGCGCCTCGATCTCCACAAGGTCTGGTTTGCGCCCGGTATCGCCCAAGGTCTTCACGTACGATACGGCAATCGACTCCAATTCGTGGGTGACAGGAATGCTATCAGGGAACCACATAGCATGGAAAGGTCTCTCATTGGCACTCATGCAAGCTCTCATCTGACCACCTTAGGTGTCGATGACGAAGTCATGGCCAACGCTTGCTCGGACGATGCGTACACTCCTCGGACTCCAGCTTCTCTTCCGTCTTCTATCTGTTCACCATTCGAAGATCTGGACATGTTCTCGGTGACGTCGTTCGATCTCAACTCGGAAACCACTGCCGACGACGAAGAGTCCATGGAGTACGCGAACGAGGGCTCATTTTTCTCGGGCGCCGACATCGAAGAATGGGAGGCCTCAACACAGGCGGCGGAACAGGAAGAACCAAAACACCAGTACGACATCGAAATCGACGAAGACGACGATGAGGATGAGGAGATGGAAGACATATCGCAAGACGATATGGAGGCGATCTTTGGCAATCTGGAGGAGACCGCTCATCACGTTGCCAATGACGCTGACATTTCATACATGACTAACTTTGCGCCTGAGCTGCTCTTGACTCGGCACAATCTTGGTCATCTGGAATGAGGCTTACGCGGTACTACTACTAGGTCTCGCGATATGGCATGTGTGGACTTCCCATGATGTCAGTGCGTGTTGTACAGCGACCATGATGAGGCATGATTGTAGCGAGCAATATCGTGCAATTTGTGGTCATGGCACCTTTCCTTTCTCCGGCACTCAGCATACAGCGATCTTCAGCACAGCCTGCTTATCGCGTCTTACACCAGCGAGCGCTAGCATTTGTTAACGGCGTTTTCTTGGTTTTTCACATGTATCGGATACCCGTGCGCCGCCATTACCAGCATTAAGGCGTTTTCCCTTCATTCCACGACGATAAACTGGCACGGAAATGGCCACGTCTCTTTATAGAAATTACCAATCGAAAACATATCTTCCATCCCACCTCCCTTCGGCCAGTCGATGCCATCATACCTGAGTCATCGGGAATGACTCCCACAAACTTACATCCTCATTGCTAATCTTCTTCTCGCAGCACTAGTATTCTCCCTTCATCATCCCCACCGTAGCTCTCTGCGGTCAGCGACATGGGGAATGATCGATGCAGACTTCGCAAACCCCGCATTCCCGACCTTCGTGACTGTCAACACGACGTGACCATGCCGCAGCCGGAGAACCCCTTCGCTCACTTCGTTCACTCCCAAGCACGCCGCAAATCCGAGTCCGCTGCAATTCCAATTCACGACCGTGATGTCAAGCGCGACACGGCGACAAGCTCTACGGCGCGCAACCCTTTTGCACCACCGGTTCCACCAAAGGACGAGCCGCATAAGACGGCGTCCACTTCGTCCGCGATTAGCGGGGCACGGGATACTCTGAGTGCCTTGGAGAAAAAGTGGATGCTTAACGACTGCATCCAGCCGAAGTCGGTACATGAAGATAGGCTAAGGCAAGAATACTCACCGAAGAGCATGAGGGCGGTAGATGAAAACGAAAGTCGGGAGGGAAGGTCGCCCGCCCGCCGAATACATCCAGCTTTGAGGTCGATCTCATCACCCCCACGAAGCTTTATAGCCCTCCGGGAGAGTGTACAAGACAGCGGGGTCGACGTGTTCAGTCCTGTAACCTCCAGCGATACTACATCAGAGGACGCCAACAGCGAAGTCAAGTCGAAGACCGCAAAGCGCGACACCGTCGCCGATCTATTCAGCGAAATAATGGGAACCGGTAAAGCGCCACGACTACCGCGTCAGAGAGTGCTGGACGAGGTCTCTACACGTTCCGCCGTGCCACCACCCCTGCGTATACCCAGCAAGCCCAAGCCTTCACCTCGTGGAAGTGCCCTACCGCCGACGCACAAGTACAACAAGCTGGAGCTAGGCGGCCGTCCTTCACTCCAGATAGTAACGACGTTCGCCGAGCCCAGAACCGCACCAGAGCCCCTCGCCAATCGTCGCAGTTACACGAAGCGCATGAGTCACGGGCACGGTCGCAAGGACAGACGCGCATCCATGATGAGATGGAGTTTATTCCAGAAAGACACGACAATACCACCGCCGAAAGTACCAGAACCACGGGATGACACACCGCCCATACCCCGGAAGAGCAGCAAGAGAGGCAGAAGTATCACCTTGGAAGAGCCATTGCTACCCAAGAAGATACAACTTCCTCTTGAAGAAAGTGTGCCACCGCCTCTCACCAAGCAACGGCGCGCGCAAACCTTTCCTGCGCAAAAGAACTCTCACAAGTTGCGAAAGGATTCAGACATCCGTCTTTCACCCACCCTGCCCCAACGCAGAAACACGCATCACATCACCGTAAATCGGATGCGTGACCCCGATGAAGCTTTCGAGGAACTTATCGCGCTCCGCAGACGTGCGACCGCTGATGTCACAGATGGCGCACCCACGGCGCCTGCCAAGGCGAATAGCAAACTTCACAGCGTTGGTGGCGGTGGAGGAGGCGATTGTTTCGGCCTATACTCAACAGCAAAAGGCCGTGTCGATGATATCGTCGAAGTAGTGCGAAGTGTGAGAGAAAAGAATAGAGCGAGGAAGAAGCGAGAGAAGATGATGGCGGAGGTGAGGAGAAAGTATGAGGAGATGGCTAGTGCTACTACTGATCAGACGGGTGGAGAGGGAGGGTACAAGTGGTTGTAATTGGAGATGTGATGGGTTTTACTGTGTTGATATATCTACACTATGCCTGAAGTTGGATGAAATTTGTTCTCGCTCGTTAACCGTGATCCGCAACGTTGACGCCCTAGACGAGAAGATATCTTCACGCATGGGAGAAATCACAAGCGTAATATGATGTTAGCCATGATCGATTCCCACACGAAGTTCTCTGCCTTGCCTTCCCGTAGATCTTCAGCTGTAGGCGGGATGGTGGGTTGGCGTATTGGTCTTTCCTTCCCATCCGACGATTTAGCCGGGGAAGACTTGGGTTGTGCGTGTGGTATGAACACTGTTGCGTGAGGGTTCAAAATATGGTAGATTCTTGCTGAGAATTCTTCATAAGAACGAGGCGTGTTTGAGGTGTTGCCAGTTGTGGCATTGATGTCATCCTGGCTGGAACTGGGTTGTTGATTGGAAGACGTCATGACGGGCGATGATGTCGAATAGAGGCGCAAGAGATTGCTAAGTGTAGGTGCGCCTGCGGGATTTCTTTCTTGAAGTATACGAACGGGAAGGATTATTCAGAAGACTAAATACTTCACTCATCACTGTTTCGCTTGTGGTCAGTGATTGTTGTGTGCGACAATGTCTAGCGATTCAAGCAAACGATAGTCTAGTCATCATCGCGTCTATTGTCCTGAACATGTCTCTGGTGTTTCAGCAGAAGTTATGTACGCCACGAATACTTGTCTAAACCCATTCGATACTTCTACCTACTATCTGAAGTGGTATGATAGACTACAAGACTCACTCAACTCCGCCGCTATGATCGCCGTCGCCCTGTTGACCCTCCTGCACCCGCCCGCGTATTTCATCGTGGAACAGGGTCAAAGAATTCTTCAATCGAGGGGTATTCTTCTACCGGCTTTTTATTTACCGTTTCTCTAAGCACCCAAGGGTCAGAGGAGCGTGGAACTGGTGAGCTAAATCTTCATATTACTGATACGACTACTCTTCTTTGGGACCGCGGGCCTTGGTTTTGGTGATGCGCTGCCAGAACTACGGCGCCGTGAGGAGCTTCTAGACCCACTCTCTTCTTCCAGAGAAACCTGATCGGTAGATGGTGTTGCTGGGTCCGCCTCGTTTGTCGCTCGTATACCTTCTGGCGAGTGGCCGGTATGTGTCTTAGTTACCGTAATTAGTTCGTCGACGTGCACGAGAATTTGTTTCAGTGTGTCCATGGCTGCACCCTGGAATTCACTTTCTCCGATTGCTTGACCGTAGCCGTAGCCATCGTGGATTCCAGATTCGATGACCCAAGCTATGGACCCCATGGCGTAGCTTATGTAGTAGATGAAGTCGCCGAGGAAGTAGGGTTGCAGCAGCGTTATGGCCGTCCATATCATGCCTGAAGCAAGCGCAGCGGTGCTAGGCTGAGCACCGGGAATGTACAAGATGCCCTGGTAGACTGCGAGTATGAGGAAGACTACCCCTGCGACGAATATGGCCATGTGTAGTTGTGAGGGGATGTATGTGCCGGACGTTTCGCGTTCTGGTGTCGGGCTTTCGGAGCCTCGTGAGTCATGATCGCTTCGGTCGTCGGTAGAGAAAGCGTTGGACTCATCATGTTGGCGTGCTTTGCTACTAATGTCGATGAGATTGGGATTCGTGGATACGAAGGATTGTGGTGCCGAAGACTGGCTTGGGATTGACGAACTTTCCATTTGGTGGTGGCCTGCTTCTGTCATCGTATTTTGGAGTCTGCGAACTAAATTCATGGCTTGTTATGTATTAAGTATGTAGAGAAAGTGGTGGCGCAGCCCGGTATACATACCCAGCTGACGGAGAAGTTTGCTTCATCTCAAAGAGAACGCGCGAGAAAGCACATGGAAGGCGGAGCAAAACATGCCACAAGCAAGTCAGTTCTCTGTCGTTCATTCAAGCCTTGCGCTAGGGTGGGTAAAACCCGAGTGGCAGATCAGGCATCCAGTTCCTGTTGACCTGAGTATCGGTTGGCGTTTGCATGCATACAATGCGGATCAGGCTACGCCGCATCAGGTCTGTAAAGCAACGTCACGAAGTCAGTTTTAAGTTAAGTACACCCGTGCAGCTAGTTACCGAGAGTCAGAGTTGTGTCGCGTACTCGAGGTTTGACAAGTCGACGACGCCACACGGCAGGCTGACGACAAGAATGTAAGAAATAGACAGCGGCCCCAGTGATGATCACTGATCAGGGCCAGTGATGATACCTAGGCTATCCATCGTAGCCCCATAGGTGTAGTAATCACCGAGCTTATTGCATTGACGCTGACAATGTCGAACGTTTGATTGCTCCACGGACCTGCGGAACGCCCAGTCAGCAGCCGCATATTGTGGCACCGCCCAGGAAACACGGCCTTCGCTGCAGTGGACACAGGTTCGTTTCAGACAGCAACAGACAGCGGCGTCGGATGCGGGGTGGTTCTGCATGTTGGAAAGGAGGCGTTGGCTTATCGGGAACAGCGAAGATGTCAGGAGGCGGGATGGAGATGTTGAGTGGGGCGGGTAGCCAGGCGGGGAGATTACCAGTTTCTGGTAGGCGTCGCCCCAATTTGGACCCTTTGCCACCATCTTCGCTCGTCCGGTCGCACTGGAAATGGCCTCGAGCCCAACACGTACAACAACAGCTGTTCCTCGAAAAATATTAACAGCTTCGACTGTGTCTATGTTGATGCGCTGTCAGCCACAGCGGCACATGACCGCCAACTGCACTGTGATGCCGTGCCAGCCGTTTACCAGCGCGGCAGGAACCGTGCATCAACACCATTTGGAAAGATTCACGGCTCAGCAGCGGGCCAGCATCTGATTCGCCCCAAGACGGGATCCAGAAGCCACTTTAGCAGCGCCAGTGGATCCAGGTTCGGGGGCGTCTGGCTGCAGGGACACCGCAAAAGGCTGAAGGGCCTGCCAAGCGCAATCTCGCCGGCCCCCAGCGCCCCATGCCACCTCCTGCGCGTCTTGGCTGGTGCTGACGAGCTGGCGGGTCTGTCGTCTTTTTAAATGTGCTGATCCCCCGACGCCCTGCCACAGCACGCTGCACCCCCTATCGCCATCGTAACATCTTCGTTTGCACTTCGTCGCGTCGCTCGTTTGGATCTCCCCCATTCCCGGATCTACGCCGCCCAAGATGATGCTACCGTCGACTGGAGGTCGGAGCCCGTTGCTCGCGCTCTCGGTGAGCGCTGGCTGTGTCCTGGTATTCATCTTCGCCTTCATGGCTTGGCAGAGTCCACCCCGGGTGACTTTCCCACATGGCCAGTCCAACTTGTACGTGCTGTCATTTCATGGTTCTTGGGATGGAAGGGCCATGGCCTAATCAATGCTTTTCCGGCGGAAGCTAACAGACCCTACAGGGCAGCAGCCAGCGCGCAGACCGACTCGACCATTGGCGATGTCATTAAGCTACTGTACCAGAACCTGAAGGTGTCACCGACTGAGCCCTTCATTCGCGAACCAAATGGCAGCCACATCACGTTGCCACCGAACCCGCGCTACAAGAAGAACCTAGGCAGCGACGTCCTGATCCTGGATCTGGAGACCCGTCCCCTCAAGTCTACTGAGGAGTACGAACGGGGCGAATATGACTGGCGCAACATCAACCACGTTTCTGGAGGTATTTTCAACCACTACACGTATGCGCTTGTCCACGGCTACGACTACAAGTTCGTCCAAGCGCGCGAATTCGAAGACCGACACGCCACCTGGATCAAGCCTTCTGCACTTGCAAATCACATCAAGGACTACAAGTTCATCATCTTCCTCGACGCCGATGCTGCTTTCCGCTTCCTGCACGTCCCTGTCGAATGGATGCTCAACCACTGGGACGTAAAGCCGCACCACTCCTTCGTCATGGCTAAAGACCCTTGGAGCGCGAAAGAGCCCCAGTATAACTCCGACCGCTTCAACCGCACCTACACCAACACTGGTTTCATGATTGTCCAGAACAACGAGCAAACCCTGCCCATTCTCAAGGCATGGCACGAGTGCCCCGACGACACCCGCTACGCAAACTGCTCGCAATGGAAGCAACCCCGCTTCCACGAGCAATCCGCTTTCGGCGAGTACATCCGCTACGACTACGAGCAATACATCAAGGAGCTTGAGTGCGGAGAGGCCAATGGCTTCCCCGGTGTCGAAGTCAGCAACTGCCAGGGCAAGCTCATCCGCCACTACTGGTTCGAGAAGAGCAACGTCAAGATGGACTTCCGCGAGAACATCATGAACGCATTGACGCTCCCGATACAAAAGATCTTCGCGCAGAACACGAGTGGCGTCGTATACCAGCAGGAAGAGAATGTCATACTACAATAGCAACGGCTTGCTCTACTGGCAAAGCAAAGATAATACGTTTACGAAGAAAGAGGAAAGGGCTTATCGCATAGCATAGCGTTGCATTACCAAGGCGTTTTCCAGATATGGGATGGGCAATCATTTGTTATCATGTTTTCGGTTTTGGTTCGGTTCGGGCTGGGTGGTTTTCGCCCCGATTCATTTTACCGTCGCACTTTCGATCTGGGTCTTCCGACGCGATGATACCCCAATACGAGTCTCCAGTTCACACAATCAATATTATTCACACAAGACTGATATCCCGTCCTTGCGCCAGATTACTTTGCCTTGTTTCGAGTTGCTGCGCTTGGCTTCCGACGTTGTGACACCCGGGGCCAGTGTCACCTGCCGAACGAGGTATACTCCCCCCAGCCGATCCTACAGCTTACCACGATTGAGACGCCCATCAAGCGCATCACCAACGGCACGCCTGAGAGCTACAAAACAGGATCTCTTGCCCAGCCCAGCCGCTTATCACCGCCACTTCACCCTAGCCACGCGACTGCATATCTGCCAAGGCGCTAGAACGTCGTTAGCGCCGATGATCGGCGGTCAGCCACGTCCTCGAAATTGGGTTCGGCTGGCAGGGCGGCGTCCTATGTAGGTTGGCCGACCGGAGTTGCGACGGCGCTGTTCAGGCGGTCTGTCTGCGGAGACTACTCGCTCTGCTTTGGGATGGACAATGGCGAGCTTTCGCGACAAGTGTCCCGAAATAGGCTGAATGCGCTTGTCGATCTATACGAAGCGCTTCGGATTGCGCCGGACGCTGGAATTGGCAGGTTTGGTCGGCGTACCCGGTCCCGGTGCTAGCAGGTTCTGACACGACGCTACTTGGCCTTTGGACGATGCTTCTTTTGGAGATGTAGCCTTAGGGTGGAGGCTAGGGTCTTTCGTGCGTAAGATGGTCGTCTGAATGATGGCTTACTGAGGGTGGCATATACACTCTCAATCATATACCGGACGACAAGCACTACATGTCGCCAAACTTCAGTATCCGTCGCATCTCGTTCCCGTCTCAAGCATGAAGCTCAGCTTCAACATCCGAGAAAGCCGTCACCTACTTACGCTTGCCAGAAGCTATTAGTGCTTCATGTACCCCGAGTTGCATTGGCCCTTGGCGTTTCCGAAGTTCACCTTCAACACGAGAGAAAGTCGTCACCTAATTACGCATGCCAGAAGCTGTTAGTAGTCCGTCTACCCCGAGTTGCCTCGGTCCTTATTTTCTCCCCATCGCACCACGCTCCAGGGTTAGCTTCGGGCGCTTGCTCTCGTACCAAACTCGGTGTACGTACGAAGCCGAAGTATTACCAGAGGAGTTCTTGACGGTCTGGGTCTCAGTTCCCTCGGCATCTTTTTCCAGGAGCTTGAACACATCCATGGTTTGTATGTATGATTATCATTCCTGTCGCTTTCGATTATAGAATATTGGTCTGCGTTCACATCTGCTGTGGTGTGTCCAGCATATACTTCTAGAGTTCTTTTATAAACCACTGGCTACAAGGTGAAAGTATGTTGGAAGATCTGCTCATATTCACAGCTAGTTAACACAGTACATCGCTGGGACAAGGTGCTGAAACAAGCCCACGCTCTCAAAACTTAGGATCCAAGGCCTGTGTTGACGATTACACACTTGGAGCCGTCACTTCGATGTTGTGCCGCTGAAGAAGCCTCCCAGACGGCTCGTTCGATGTAGTTTTAAGTGTTTCGAGACGACGCAGCGGAAGCTAAGAAACGCTCTTTACCCGGACACCCATGTGCGGTGTCGCCAAGCGCACGCACTATACTCCTGTGTTGGTGGCACGAACCAAGTGCATAAGGGTATACACGACAACGACAATATATCTTGTATCTTCCTACTCTTCTGCTTCGCTTTCCCGACCTTGCCTTCCTACAAACGTGACCGCTATCGCATGATCATGCGTCGCCATGTCCAACATCCATCGATCTTGCTGTGCCTCCTAGGCGCATGTACTGGACTCCAAACGGAACACCCACCGGCTACAGTACAATTCGACCTCGTTTTCCCTCCGAACTACTCCTTGGTTGAGCCCTACTACCCATCACCCGTCATCTTCGCGATTCACAACTTCTCCGCCATCGACCAGAACATCCTCTTCTGGAGCTGGAACATCACTGATGCGATTTCCACCGTCAAGGGCTATGAATCAACCACCCTCGTTGCCTCAGGTCAAAGCCGTCCCGATACCATCGGCGTAGGAATGTCACCTGAAGTACTTCTCATAGTTGAGCCCGTTTCTCAATTAAGAAACAACACCATGGACCTTCTTCGTCTGAGCTACACATTCGGTCTGACGTACGCTTGTGGCAACACAACTGGAATCTCAGCAACTGGTTC